CTAGCAGATCTTGATCAGCTCTAAGTTGTTGCTGCTTTTTCTTGAGGCTGTTTGCCGTGGCCATAAGCCTGCGTTTAAAACGCTCTTGTTCGACGGGATCCTCAGGCACGACAAATTTGTCGTCGTTGAGGCTTGCCTCGTCTCCGAAGGGAGGCATGTAATTATCATCCTCTACCTCTTCGTCTGCCGTTCTCTCATGAGGGCTGGCTTCTCCGTCTTCCTGTGTTGAATCTTGCTGGAGGGGGTTGTCTTCGGCACTATCTGGGGTATTATTATCTCCGGTGCCGGAATCTCCATTCTTACTGTGGTGGGATTTAGAGCGGCGCCGCTGACGCCGACGCTTGGGTTGTTTCTTGGATGGGTCATCCTCCGCTGTTCCTTCGCCTTTCCCATCCTTTGGGATATCCATCATGTATATGTCATATGATGAGGTGGCTTTCCAGTGCCCAGTAGGCGCTGGTTCTTGGTCGTCTCCGGCATAGTCGTCCATACCGTCGATGTCTTCGGAGTCGAAGTCTAGCATGTCGGTTAGATCGTCGACAGTGGCTACTAAGTGGGTGGTGGGTGGGCTTTGAATTTCTTCGTCGTCCGCATGCCAACTATCCTGACCGCAGTCCGGCCAGGGCTCTCCTGATAACGAGAGATGCTTTAGCGAACTCAGGATGTCGCCGAAAGGTGAGTGTTGAAAGATGTCCACAGCGGTGAACTCCATGATCGGCGCCCAACTGGATTTGATTGGAGGGTGCACGGAAGGTTCGGAGTCCGGCGAGGAGTCCGGCACCTCGGAGTCATGAGCTTTACAAGGGACAAGGCCAGTGTTCGGCTCCATCGCCATAGAGGTTGCAGACCCCGAGGAGGTGTCTAGCCACCCGTCCTCGATCTGCGCAGCCGGCTCCGAATCGAGGGTTGGAGCGGGCTCGTGTGCGGCCTCCAGGGCACTGTTCGGCTGCAGAGCTAAATCATGCCCATCGTGACAGTGCGGCGCGCTCGGCTGTGGCTTGAATCCATCGAAGATCAAGTCTCCGCGGATGTCAGCCGTGAAGTTTAAACTTCCAAATCTGACCTGACGGCCAGGGGCGTAGCTTTTGATCTGCTCCAGACGGCCAAGCGAATTGGCCCGCAGTGCAAAGCCGCCGAATACGAAGATTTGTCCGGGGAGAAAAGTCTCACCCTGGACTGCGTCGTTGTTGATGATCGAAGAAGCCATCGAGCCTATCGGTGACGACACAGGGGAACTCTCAATGAAAGCACCAATGTCGGTGTCAAAACCGGCGGATCTCGGGTAGGGGGTCCCGAACTGTGCGTCTAGGCGGATGGTAACAGGAGACAAGGGACAGATGTTTTACCTAGGTTCGGGCCCTCTTGATGGAGGTAAAACCCTACGTCCTGCTTGATTGATATTGATGATGTGGGTATTACAAGAGTAGATCTACCACAAGATCAAGGAGTCTAAACCCTAGAAGCTAGCCTATGGTATGATTGTTGTTCATCCTACGGACTAAAACCATCCGGTTTATATAGACACCGGAGAGGGCTAGGGTTACACAGAGTCGATTACAATGGTAGGAGATCTACATATCCGTATCGCCAAGCTTGCCTTCCACGCCAAGGAAAGTCCCATCCGGACACGGGACGAAGTCTTCAATCTTGTATCTTCATAGTCTTGGAGTCCGGCCGATGATGATAGTTCGGCTATCCGGACACCCCCTAGTCCAGGACTCCCTCAGCCTCCTTTGGGCCGAGGATGCTGAGGCCATGGATGATGCGGAGAGTGGCGCACTGACTGACAGGGACCGTGGAGGGATTGCTGGCTTGGTGTGCGCTGTGGCGAGTCGCCGCAGGCCTGGAGCGGAGCGGGGTCTTGGTGCGGTTGGGCGCCCGGCCCACCACAGAGGCCGAGTTGTTGGAGAAGAGCTGCTTGGTCGCGCCCCTGTCGCCTTCTTCGTTGATCTGCAGGTGGCAGACTTGGCTGATCACGAGCTGAGCTGCAACGAGTGCGTGTCTGCCATCGTCGGGGTGTGCCTGGTGAGAGAGAGGGCAGGGCCCATGTCGATGCCATCTGTGTCGCCCCTGGTGCCCCCTCGTGCTCGGAGAAGGAGAGGGGCTTGTCCACTTTCTTTGCCGCCGCCGCATCGACGGCAGCAGCCCTAGGGTCCGGCGGGGCGGCGGTGGGAGCTCCTTGCCGGCTTCCTCGAAGAACTCGGCCATCGGGTCCGCTTCCGCGGCCGCCACGAGGGGGGACAGCGGGCGCGGCGGGGCCAGGAGTGGCTTGGTGGGAGGCGGAGCGGTCCTCGATGACTGCCCGCGCTTGAAGCGCCTGGTGCCATCCACACCCTTCCCGCGCTGTGTGACCTGGATGTTGTTGTTGCCGTAGCTCTTGCCGCGATGCTTGTCGTGGTGGTCAGAGCTGCTGCGGCGCCCGCGGGGCGCCCCTTGGCGGTGTCGAGAGCTTAGCGTGCGGCTGCGTTGGTGCTCCAGAGGTGGGTCGACCGCGACCACGGTGTGCTCCTTGCCGCGGCCCCGCCCCAGCAGGGTATCCTTCCAGGATCGCCTCTGACCGCCATCGTCCTCGTTGTCCTGGCCGCGCCTGGCGTCCTCCGAGGGCATGCCCCTGTAGCTCGTGGACACCACCAGCGCCTGGGGGCGATCTCGTTGCCCCAGGTCCTGTGAGTCCAGCCGCCGGCAGAGGGGCGACGCGAGAATGGGCGATCGTCGTCGTCCGAGGAGGGCAGACCACTCTGGACCGAGTGAGAGGACCGCGGGGACAGAGGGGTCCAGTCCTCGATGCGGTCGATGTGCACCAGGACATCCCACCTGAGCAGGGCCGATGGCGGCGCAACAGTGCGGCTCGGCGGAGAGAAGACGTGCATCTCCTCCACCCACCCCGCGCCTCGCGTGTGCTTCCAGAGCATCCGCCTGGTGGGGATGTGGTGTAGCTCCCACACCCACACCCACACGGCAAACGTCTTCGTGTCAACCCGCTCGAAAGTGCGGCTGTCAAGGTGGTCGATGATGACCTGGTCGCCGAGCGCGTCGGCCGCTCCCTCCAGGGTCCAGAGTTGCATGGGCAGCTTCTCGAGGACGACGCGCACGTGCATCATCCAGGTGGCGTGCACCGTGTGCGTGTCCTCCCGCCATGGCTCCAGTAGGAATTGCATGCCATCGACCGTGATCGCGCCCTGGCGCACGACCAGGTCATTGTGGGTGGGCAGGTGGAAGTGGATGAAGAAGTCTTCCGGGGCGTGGCTGGTGATGCGGAGGAGGTGCGTGGGGATCTGGAACTCCTTCTCGGCGGCCCGGCCGATGGAGAAGGGGCTGGCGACGTGGACCTTGCTGACGGCAGTCACCACCACCGCGTGTTGCTGCAGGAGGAAGACTTGCTGCTCCAGGGATGGCGTGGAAGCGATCACCTTGTGGGTGGAGCGAGGCCGGCGCCCGTGGTCAAGGCCGGGGGCACCGCCGGAGGCCATGGGTGGCGCGCTGGAGCGGTCGGGGAAGACAAGGCGCTCATGAACGGTACGTGCGGCGACGCTCATGCCCAGGCGGTCACGCACCGAGCCGTCCCCCTCCGGTTCCTCTGGTTTTGGGGGCACTCTCTGTCGTAGTGGCCGGGCTTTCTGCAGATGATGCAGTGAAGTGGATCGTGGCAATCTACATGGCGGTGGCTGGAGCTCAGGCAGCGGAAGCAGAGGCCTTTAAATCTGCTCAAGAAGGCCTCGCGCCCCGGGGAGGAGCCGCGGCCGGACCGCGGTCCGAAGGCAGACCCGTGGCGGGGCGGCGCACGGACCGCAGAGGCTCTGATGGCCTTCTTGCTCTTGCGGGAGAGGTGCAGCTCCCGTCCCTCTTGATGGTCGTCGGTGGCCTCATCAATGTTGTTGTGGGCCAGATCTGGCAAAGGGGACGGTGCTACTATGATGGATCGAAGGCGGGGTTGCTCGAACGGGGGGTGGCGGGCATGGCCTCCCGGTCCGAGGGGGGCGCGCCCTCGGGGGTCACCCCGCGTCGCAGGATTTGCGGCGGCGTTCCCCCATCCCGCGTGGCCGGGGAGAGGGGAGTGGCAGCCACCTCGGAAGGCCCGGCGGATAGATCTAGGGGAGTGGCAACCACCTCGGATGACCCGACGGATAGATCCAGGCCCGTGGGGGAGGAGCAATGAAGACCGGCCGGTGGCGACCCAGGATCACGGGGAGAAGCGGGGGAAGGCATGGGAAGGGGCAGCGGACCCGGGGATGGGCAGCTGCTGCTGCAGGTGGCCGCCGCAGCCGGAGTGGCCAGTGGCGCGGGGGTGAGGAGGAAAGGGCGCTCTCGCTCACGCTCACCCGTCTCTCACACTGAATTAATTGAAGCGGGGTATTGGAGAGGCTGGAGAAATATGGTTTACCCATTATTCGTTGTTATACATTCATAATATACATCATTGGTATTTTTGGCTTCTATTGAATATAACTATGTGTAAAAAGGTTATTTTACAATAATATTGACAAGTGCATAAATTATATTGTGTACACATAAATACTTGTGTGTGATATTTTAGTACTATTAAATATCATGGTACAGATCTGCACAATACAAATATCATGGTAGGGATATATGGAAGTAATCCAGTCCAACAGATGGAGTCTTCTTCATTGGGCAAAAGAGTGATATCAAGCAGGAAACATCCGAAGACCCTGACTGACATTCTCCATGCCTGTCCTACCTCACAATCATGGTGTCTTAGAATCAGCCATCCAACACCCCCTGCCGAAAGTGCGCCGCGAGCAATCCAAACACTCCAACCAAAGAAAAACAGAAACACCCGACAGTAATTGTTTCACAAGAGAACACTAATTCTGCAGCCTCTACTGATGAATGACACGCATCAGTCTATTCTCTTCGATCGGCAACGAGACAAGGCTGGCAGCAGAGCTGCAGTACACATTACAGAGTGACACGAGGAAGAACAGAGCTGAGCTAGCTACATAGCTAAACAAAGCAAAACAAACCAAACCGCTACTGTCTTACTGATCTGTGGAAGCACGGACTGAAAATACCTCTCCTAGTGGGTAGGCAGGTGAAACTATATGGATAATGCTAGTCCTTGCTCCGGCCGGCTCGTCGACGACGACGGAGATCCTGCCCTGGTCGAGCAGGCTGTGGAACTCGCGGGTGCGGCGCTGGTTGCTCCAGTGGTGCAGCTTCCACAGGTACCCCGCGAAGAGCCCCAGGCTCATGCCGTACACGATCTCCCTCACCACGCTCGGCGGCCGCCGACCCTTCATTCTCGCCCCCGCCGCCGATGCAGCGTGCGTCGCCACCTTGTGCACCGTCGTCGACATGGCAGATGGCACCTACCTCCCTCTTCTCCTGCGTATGTAAGAGCAACTTCAATGCGGCGATCCATTTCATCCGTCCGCGTCCGTTTGGGTCGGCGAGGACAAAAGTGGTGGCCCAACGCACCGACCCAAAAGGACGCAAGTCCGTTTTTCATCCGCGGGCGATCCATTCCCGGCCCAATTTTAAGCCTGATTTGCGTCGACGCGGATACGAGACGAGCGCGCGCGCGCCTACTCTTCTCTCCGGACCCGCCGGTCGGTGGCAGCAACCATCATTTCCCCCCATTTTCCCCAAAAACACTCCCGACCGCGCGCGCTCGCTCCCGCCCCAACCATGGACGACGCCATCGACTTCGACCTCGACCTCGACGCCGCCGCCGGCCTCGCCTCCCTCGCCTCGTCCGGCGCCGTCGCCCCCTCCGGAAAAGGAAAGCCTCGTGCCCCGCGCAAGACCGCCGCCGCGACCAAGCCGAAGAAGGCGCTGACGCCCGAAGAGCGGGCAAGGGAGTCGGCCAAGAGAAAGGGCCGGAGGCACGCCGCGGACGCGAGGGATGAGGCCGCCACCGCCGCGCAGCAGGAGTTCACCAATGCCCGCGTCGCGGCGGCAACGAGGGAGGCGCTCTACATGCTAGGGGTAAACCCTAGCCAGCACAACCTCGTCCAAGCTGCCGTCGCCGCGGCCAGCACCGGCTTGTCGGTGTTTCCTCGGATGGTGCTACCCGAGTCACCCTGCGCGTCGGCTTGCAACCCGATCCCCGGCTTCCACGTCTACCCGCAGGCCTCCCGCCTCTCCGGGGAGTGCTCACCGACGTGAGCGTGGTCGCGCCTTCCACGCCTGCGCCAGCGCCCATCGACCTCAACGCCACCCCGGTGGTTGGTGGCTCGTCGTCCGGCGGCACGAGGAAACGCACGCGGCAGACGCCGGCCGGCGGGCTCCCAAACGCCCGCAACCTGTTTGAGGGAATGCCGTCTGTCGTCGATGAGAACTTCATGCAAAACCTCATCTTCGAGGGCGGTGCGCCAGGCGTTTGCTACGATCCCGACGAGACACAAAGCCAGGCCGGCTGCGGGGCGTTCACGACGGCCGCTGGCTATGATCCCGACCAGGCGGCCTTCATGCGTGATCAGGTCGGCGTCGACCTGGACGGCTTCCCCCTCGACCACGAGTTCCCGGACGACTGCGGGCTAGAGGAAGAGGACGAGTGCGACATCGACGTGGAGCCTTTGTTCGAGGACGAGCTCACCAACCAAGCCGCCGGTCCTAAGCCCAAGCACAAGAGCAAGCGTACGAAGGCGTACACGACGGTCGAAGACAAGCTTCTTTGCGAGTGTTGGCGAGACATTGGACAAGACCCGAAGACGGGCGCCGAGCAAAAGCATTCGACCTTTTGGACTCGTGTGCACCGAGATTTTCATGAGCGCAAGAAGTTTCCACCTTACCAATTTGTGAGCACGCGCGGGTGGGTCTTCATTTCCAAGCGGTGGAGGGTGATCCAACAAGAGTGCAACAAGTTTTTGCGCCACCCTTAAGAGCGTCAAGGCCCGCCCCGTGAGCAGCATCGGCATGCAAGACATGGTATGATAGCAAGCAAGCCACCCTCTTTTGTGTCATCAAGATCATCCTTGCTATCACTTGCCCATATGCTTGCATGGAAACATTTTATAGGCATTTCAAGCTTTGGAGGCATTCAAGGCTCAACACAATGGCAAGTGCTTCAACCTTTCCCATTGCTATCGGGTCATCAAGGACAAAGATAAGTTCAAGGCACAATATGCCGCACCCAAGATACGTGGGGGGAAGAAAGCCGTGGAGGATGTTGGGAAGGACGGGCCGGCACGGCCGCGGGGGAAGACCAACTCCAAGAAGGAGGACAAGTGAGATGCGGCCACCAACGCCTTGATCGCAAGCGTGGACGACATGATGAACAAGAAGGACTCAAGGGAGGAGGAGCGCCGGCGTTTCAAGGCGGAGCAAATGGATGCTTTCATGGAGATCCAAAGGAGGAGGCTTGATCTTGATGCCGAGAAGTAAGCCAAGATGTTCGAGCTCGAGGCGGAGAAGCAAGCCAGGATGCTAGAGATCGAGGCCGCCGACGCCAAGACCAAGGCGAAAGAAGTGGCTCTTGCGAGCATGATGACCGGGGTGGAGATCATGAAGGTGGACCTCAACACCGTGTCGCCAAGGAAGAGGCCGTGGTTCGAGAAGATGTAGGCCGACATGCTCAAGTTCGTCGACGAGTGATATATGGCGGCGAGGGCTATCTTTTTTTATGCCAGCAGGTGTACCGGCATGACCACGGGAGCCGAGATGGCGTGGTCGAACTCAAGTCTCACCCTTTTTTGTGTGCTGGCATGTGTGCCGGCCGGTTAGCAAGTGCGCCAGCATGAACTGTGATGATATTTCCTAAAGACGGCATTGTATGCCGGCGCTGGCATGGTGCGAAATGGGTCGGCACGTTAGGCGCACTGCCGACCTAAATGCAAAACTGGACGGACGCAGGGCAGGCGGCCGATCCAAATGAATGAAAAGTGGACAAATGCGTCGTCCGTTTGGATCGGCCGGTTGGAGTTGCTCTAATCGCTTTGCGACAAAGCGTTCGAGTAAATGATGCTTTCGACGAAGGAGAGGAACCGGGGGTGGCAGCCCTGCGGTGGACGGGTGGAGGCGCCCTGTCGGGCGCGTGGCGAGCTTGCGCCACGCGTGTGGTCCGCTCCCTCCAAGCTGCGCCTTCACGTGCCACCCACCTCCTAGTCCGCGCATAGGGCGCTGGATGCGGAGCACGCGCCCAGATAACGGTTCAAGCTTCGAAATCAGAAATGTCCCAGAATTTGCAAGGCGGGTGTTTGCTCCGGAGAGCATATCCAGTAATACGGGCACGCTGTTTGAGTGCATATCCAGTGATACGGGCACGCTGTTTGAGTGCATATTCAGTGATACGGGCACTGATATGATATCGTGATACAGGAAGTTATGGTCCGTTGGATCTGTGCACAAGGTTAATGTCCTCAAGGGATGTCACGTAAGCTATAGTAACCGTAGATCCCTTCTTCACGTCTATATGATTAACTCTTTTATAAATTACAAATCTACTATATATATTTACAAAAATTACATATAAACAAAATTATGGTATAATAAAATTATTTTTTTAATTTATTTGTGTACATGCTACAGTAAATCCGCGCAGTAATTGCTAAAGTACTCTGACATCCCTTCTTCGCTTTACGCACGCATTTCACTGTAGCTCCATGACATCCCTTGAGTATGTTAGAGGATCCGCTTCCGAGGATTAAATAGTCACACGTTCATTGCGAAATATACAAAATAGATCTTAGACTTTTCTATATTGCCGCTTGCAGCTTTGCATTACACCATGTCAGACTCGTTTTTATCTGGGGGCATTTCTGTCTCTCGGGCACAAAGATGAACTAAAAGTCTACCTATCACCCTGGAAAGATGCTACTGACACACATCTGAATAAAAAACAAAACCAAAAACCTTGTATGCAGCTTTCAAGAGAAATGAGTAACGCAATCGAGTATTAGTGTTTTAAAATTAAGACGTACAGGACCTCTTGGCGAGGAACGTGAACAGCTGCTATGATTTTGCATGTAGGCATCGCTTTTGGGGGGCTAGACGCAGAATATCATGTATATAAACAAATGAGTTGATCATATGCCTTTGATGCAGATCTGACGCACCATGCTGTCCGGGAGCACGGTATCATGTAGTGACTCGTATCACAGGATATTTTCTCTGTTTGCTCCACATCTAGCGCTGCTTAAATGGAGTGAGTACTGGGGAGCCCCTAATGTGACAATCTTTTTCAATGGCGTTGTTTCGCACGCTGTTGTGTGGTTCACTAGCGTTTTTTTTCTGATTCGCTGTTTCTCCACGTATGAATTGACACGTAAAAGCAACGAAATGTTTTAAAAACGAATGAAGAAAGTGTTGAAATACTAATTTCAATGAACAATTGTTTATGTTCATGTTTTTCAGTTATGCACAACATGAAACAAAAGAATGAAGAAATTGTTGAAAGATTAATTTCAATAGAGAAATATTTATGTTCCAGTTTCCAATTATGCACCGTAAGAAACAACATAATTTGCTCTAGCTCAAAAAACTATACTAAAGTTGTAAAACAGAATTTTGTCCGTAGAAAAAAATAGGCTAGAGCAAACATTGATTTTCTCATAACCAGTATTCATACGTAAAAATCTTTCTAGTGTTCTTTCGCATTATACAGTTTCCTTCTCGCTCATGTGTAAACTTGCAAAAAAAAATCAATTAGGGTAGAAACCATAATTTCTTTCTTGGTTCTGATAAAGCTCAAAAATAGCCTTAAATTTCCAAACATTTTTCGAATTTCCGAAAATATTCTTGGATTCAAAAACTGCTTTTGAAATTCAAATTTTGTTCAAGACATTAAAAATGTTCTAGGAATCAAATTTTGATCTAAGGATTCAAAAAAGGAATTCAAATTTTTTTCATGATATTCAAATAATGTTCTAGGAATTAAATTTTGATCTAAAGATTCAAAAAAAGGTTTTTGGAATTTAAAATTTGTTTAAGACATTCAAAAACTGCTCTAGGAATCAAAAAATTGATCTAAATATTCAAAAAAGTTCTTCAGTCAAAATCTGATCTTTTATTCAACAAGTTTTTGGAATTCAAAATTTGTTTAGGACATTCGAAAACTGTTCTAGGAATCAAAAAATTGATCTAAATATTCAAAAAAGTTCTTCAATCAAAATCTGATCTTTTATTCAACAAGTTTTTGGAATTCAAAATTTATTCTTGGAATTACAATTATGTTCTGAGATTTAAAAAATATTGAAGGCTTTAAAAAAATATTCTAGGAAACAAAAAAAGTACTAAGATTCAAAAAACTTTTTGAATTCAAAACTGTTCTTGGGATTTTTAAAAATCAAGACATTCGATGAATTTTTAAGGATTCAAATTTTGTTAAAATTGTGCAATGTTCAAAAAAAGGTCTTAC